TTGCAATCTTTAGTGAGTTACAATGGCACTGAAAAAAGTGACTTATGACCGGTTTTCACACTTACGACCGTTGCAGCGTTCCCATGGCCATGTTATCAAAATTCAGATGCTTGGCTCATACTTACGACGGTTGCAGTGTCCCAGGGTTGTGGGATCCCCTTTTGCGACCTTCTGATAAACAAAATCAATGTGGGAAACCACATTTGCTTTATCAACTGTGTTGATTAACTTAGCAACTGCAGGGATTCCCTTGACAACGACGACAAGAAAGGTTGTAAAATGGGGCAAAACAACAAATGTTTCACTTAACAACAGCAATTTTGGGGTCAGTTATAGTTGTTAAGACAAAGGCTACTTGTAGTTGGTTGTGAAACTCAGACAATGCCCAAGAATATCGATTAAACTCTTCTTTAGAGTTGAAAGGTGAGGAGAAATAGTCCTGGGTGATCTCCAGCAGACATTAGCAAGGACTGAACAACATGGGAATCATGACAAAATCCAAAAGTCAATGGAGTTAAGTTTCAAACTGTTTGGAATTGGCTTGGTGAGAAGTCCCAGAGCCACATTTTTTAAGAAATTCAGAAAGATAGCACAAGTTTGGAAGTATAAAAACCAAAGAATGATCTACATTCTCCTATTTAAGAAGGCTTCATTCTCTCAACTACTATTTGTCCACTAAAGCATCCAAAGTAACCTGAGGGCTTTAAGGTGGAAATTCTACCCGTAATGCACAAAGATTTGCTTTGCACATTGGACTTACGAATGCATACAAACCATTTTAATTCAACACTTCACACATGTTCTAAACTATGGAGTTAGGCAAGTTTAGCTCAGATGAGTAAAGGAGAGGCATTCTGTTATTATTGGTGCATCATATGAAGCTGCCAATGTCTGGCTTCAACAAATCAAATTATGTCAGACATTTATGTCTATTAACAGGCCATGTTTCCCAAACATGGAATAACAGAGTTAGAAGGGGGCTGGAAGTCTTCTAATCCAATCCCCTGCTCACGCAGGAGACCCTATAGCCGTGATGGTGAACCTATGGCATGCGTGCTACAAGTGCAACGCAGAGCCATTTGTGCTAGCACGCCAGCCACAGGAAAACTTACCTCACTGTGCATGCACGTGCCTCAGAGTTGATTTTTCAGCTGGTTTGAGACCTTTGTCGGCCTCCCAGAGGCTTGGGAAAAGCCTCTGCAAGGCTTTTCAGGCCGAATAGGCCCATTTTGTCACTTCCTGTAATACCAGAAGTGACAAAACGGGCCTATAATTCGTCCTGAGAAGCCTTGCAGAGGCTTTTTCCAAGCCTCTGGGAGGCCGAAAAATCAACTGTGAGGCACAGTACAGGTAAGGGGGTGGGGATTGCACGTGCATGCTCAGGGGGCATGGGGGGGCACACATTGCATTCTGGGTACTGGCACAGGAGCCCAAAATGGATAGCCACCACTGTCCTAGACCACGTCAGACAAACGGTTGTAGAATCTCTTCTTTAAAACCTCCATTGACGGAGCACACAGAACTTCTGAAAGCAAGTCGTTCCACTGGTTAATTGATCTCATTGTCTGTTAATTCCTCCTTAGTTCTAGGTTGCTTCTCTCCTTGATTAGTTTCCATCCATTGCTTCTTGTCCTGCCCTCAGCTGCTTTGGAGAATAACTTGACTCCCTCTTTTCCTTGTGGCAGCCCCTCAAATACTAGAAGTCTGCAAGTATGTCCCCCTAGTCCTTTTCTTTGTTAAACTAGACGTACCCAATTCCTGCTACTCCTGATACTATGGATATACTTACAAATAAATACACCTGAAAGTACCTAAGTAACTTCATGAGAAACTCTTCCACAGCAACAAAAGAAGTTAGCTGGTTAGACAGTTTGATTTCATCTGTACAAACCACAGACCTTCTTTTTATAAAAACTGATATTTTGGAAGCTGCAAAAAGAAGTCTTAAATGTTGAATTGTGAGTATTTTTTGTGCTTCATGTTACTGAACTAGACTCATAGGGGAACTTTTCCAAAGAGAAGCTAAACCATATTATTATTCATCTCTCATCTGCACAGGGAGATTAAGTAATTTAGAGCATAGTATTTACAGGGAAAAATGATTCAGCAACCTAATTTGAACTCTGAAATACCAATGCTTCCATTTTCTTGGCCCCATATATTTTTCCTCTTTTAATATGAAGTCTATGGCAAAAAACTGAAACATTAACCACAAGAAAATCTAACTCTTGTTAAATAAAGAGGACAAAAATCGGGAAACTAATAAGGACTCTTATGTAGGCTTAGAAAATTCTTTCTAAACAGGGTTATGTCCACATTTGCTAGTTTTTCCTCCCACACAACCCAGCCTCCTGACTAATGTCTGTTCCCGAGAAGATTTTGGTTTCTAGAGGTTACAAGCTAAAAGCACCAGAACAGTAAAAGTAGTTTTGTAAAACAGAACAAAGGAAGAACGGTGAAAACTATACTAGTGTCCTTGACGCTTCATTAGGCAAACCTAGCTGGATCATACATCCTTCTGAAATGGTTTGTTTTGAACTATGTGTGAGATGTTTTGAGCAATCCAAAACTGATCCAACTTGGAAGAGACCCATTACAAGGGTGGGATCATAAAACATGCCCAGAACAATGGGAACAATCCTACTAAATTTCTACTTTGCACAGCCCTAAAAGACTTCTCTTCCAAAATGTTTTTTTTTACATGCTATTTCTTTAACTCTAGTGCAATATTTTCCCACTTATGGGGTTTGCACCTAACATTTGATGTCAGAACCTCATTGTTGGTCCTTTTCAATCAGGCAGTGAACAAGGAGCTACCGTCAATGATCTGAAGGTGTTGACCAAGCTGGATGGGTGATTATAATAATAATCACCATAATAAGGCACTTATATTAACAATGAAGGATTTATATTAAAAGGAAGGCTTCTGTTATAATATTAGATTCAATTAGATTCATGTTCCTTTTTGCAGATGGTACCTTTGGGTAACTAACTGGCTCCATTAACGTTTCAGTACATCTAAATTGTACCTGGGATGTTTCAGTGTATCTAAATAGCACCTGAGAACAAATTCAAAATTCCTGCCCTTAAGTCTTAAGGTTGCAGCATCATCCAGAGGGGACAGTGAAAATCCATAATGCAACAGGATTTTTCTGATGCCACCACCTCTTCTTTTGAACATTTCTGTAACATCAACGCAAACACAAAAGAATTGTACCACAATGCTCCATCTGCCATCATTTTGGTCTTAATCAGAGGCAATGTGGCATAGTGGTTAAAGCAGAGGTTCTGTTTCAACTTCCAGAATTCCCTAGGTATCACAGCTCAGATTCTGGGAGTTGAAGCCCATCCATGCTGGCTGGAGAAGTTCACACGTCTTCAAGTCGTCAAGATTGAGAACCACTGGGTTACAGCGATGGAGCAGAATGGAGAAAACCAAGGTTCAAATCCATCCTCGGTTATGGGAAATTCCCCAAAGGCAAACAGTCCACTCTATCTTCTTGGATTGCGCAAAAACAAAACAAAAATAAACACACACACACACACACACACACACACACACACACACACGAGAATCTTGCTTATATTACTTTGACTCTCAGGTGAAATACAAATCTATCTAGCCCTGTACAGGAATAGGAAAGTTGAGATATGATTACAACTCTACAGGCCATTAATCGTTCCTCCGAGGACCAGAGGATTCGGAAAGAAAAACTCAGCTCTGTTTCATATCCAAGAAACAATTTGTCCTGCGAAGAAACAAACAACTTCAGCTTGTCCCTGACACAAGACAGAAGGAGTTGCATTCTCTGGCATTTTTCAAGTCTAGCGTGCAAGTTTCAAGTTCCATCGGCCTCTCTCTCGCTTGCCCCGATCCTGGTCTCTGGTGGCCGGCTCCAAATCGCTAGAGTTAGAAAGCACTTCTTTTCACCATTTATGAATATGGCACAGTTGTGGGTTTCTGTCTACTGAAAATTAAAGCACGTTCGGGAGACAGGAAACCCTGAGACTTCAAGGGTATATGGAGGATGGAGAACATAAAAAGGGTCTTTGAGCAGAATAGAAACACTTTCAAACGAAGTCCCCAAAGATCTGCACAAATTCCCCAGGAAATCCCAGCTCTTCCTAGCAAATATTTTTTTGCTTTTCCATACATCCCCAAAACTCATACCCAATTCTGATTGGATGCAAAGTGGGCAGATGCATGTTAGTCAACTCCCAGAATTCCCTATCTAGCACAGACAGGTTTAAACCCCCAGAATTCCCGAGCCTCTGTGCACAGGCCTCAACTCCCACAATTCCTCAGCCGTCATGCATGGACTTCAACTCCCAGAATACACAACTGGCGTACAGGAATATCACAGGTCTCCCAGAATTCCCCAGCCAATACGCATGGGTTCTAACTTCCAAAATTCCACAACTGGAATACAGGAATGTCAACTCCCAGAATTCCCAAGCTGTGGAATTTAAGGATCAGAATTTGTGTGTTCGCTGGATGAAATGTATTTTTGACATTTGCAGTAATCCAGGGTCATGTGATCACTGTTTAAGCCGGTCCGAGCCAAACTCCAACAAGTAAAAACAGGGGGGGAGCTGAATTTTTTTTAATGACTATGATGGTCAATTGCAGTAATTTGAGTAACAATTGTGGCAAAAAAAAAAAAGAGATGTAATATCAGGTACGGCCACCTTCCTTAAGCAATGTAAGGCTTTGGGGAAATTATTTCTTTTTAAAGAAAGCAAATTCCAACACATCAAGAGCATCTCTTTATGCCCTGTGAAAATAGCTTGTAACTGAGAGACCGATCAGATCACTGCATGCAATCCAGACAGTTTATCCTGAAGAAATCCCAAGATGGTGAAGTTGAAAAGCGTTCTGGAATAAGGCAACGCTTGGAATACTGCAGGGAAATTGCCTGCAAGGTCACCCAAAGATTTTTGATCGTAACCCCGAAATAGGCAGCTAATTATTTCCAGCGTCCACAATGGTTTAGCGTCACCTCATCTGCACATCAACCAGATTCATGCATTATTCGTTTTGCTGGACCAAGGCCAGGGTTCTGAGTTGTGCCTGTTGTTCTGAGCGGAATTCAGAAGTTGCTCAGGCCAAGGGCCCATCTTGAATCCAACATCCATTGTGACACGGCAGCTGATCCGGCGCGCCGATGAACTTTCCAGTAGCAAAGCTGTGAAACATTTATATTTATTATTATTATTATTTAAATTAACGTGCTGCACATCTTGTCCAGAGATGACTCTTGGTAGTCGACAACACTATAGTTATTCTGGTTGCTCTCTTTTCTGCCTCTATGATTTTTTTTTTCCAATTCTGTAATATCTTTTTTTTTTTTTCAGATGTAGTGAACACAGCTGTTTGCAATCTTCCGTAAATGTTCTAATGGTTGATTTATATAAAGCCACGACCAACTACACAGTTCATTTAGCGATTCAAAGTTATAATGGCACTGAAAAAGTGACTTAGGACCATTTTTCACACTTAATGACCGTTGCAGCATCCCCATGGTCACATGATCAAAATTCAACGCTAGGCAACTGTTTCGTATTTATGATGGTTGCAGTGTCCCGGGGTCATATAATCCCCTTTTGCGAACTTCCGACAAGCGAATTCAATGGGGAAGCCAGATTCACTAACAACATGTTACTAACTTAACATCTGAAAGTGATTCATTTTAATACTGAGGCAAGCAAGGTTGTATAATCTGACAAAACTCACTTAACAAAGGTCTCACTTAGGAACAGACATGTTGGGCTCAATTGTGATCATAACTGGAGGACTAGCTGTACCTCCTATGATTTTTCAATTCTTCCCAGAGGGTTTAAGTTTGTTTTATTAACAGCATACACAAGTTTGCTATTTGCATTCAACAGGTATTTTCTTGCCAAGTTCTCTTTCTTGATGCTTGTAAACAAATCACGCTGACCTGTCAGCCCTTTCCATTAAGCTACCTTTTCACGTTAAAGCCAGCAAGTCCACAAACTATGGTTTCTTTAACCACGGTTGAATGCAGAAGGTAGGATAGCCTGGTTACCTATCACATGAAACCGAAACAAACTCGCCCTTCCGGTCTTGTATCTCTGGCACAGTTGAACTTCGATGCATACTTTGACCTAGAAATTCATTTATCCTAAATACCTGCAGCAATTCTATGAAAAAGCGGGTGGTTCAGTATTGTTATTCCCACCCCACCACCATGCTCCAAGTTTGAAAATGAGACTTCAAATCCATCATTATGATACAGGGGGTAGGAGTGGAAGGAACCCTAAATATTACCGCGAAGTTATTTCCTTTCTTTAATCTTCCAGGGAATTATTTTCTAAGCATTGCAAAACTGCAGGGTCAAGCAGAATTTTTTTTTTTTTTTTTTAAATCACTCCATCCACCCAGAGAAAAAATAACAAGTGCAGTAAAATATTTTACTTGGCACAGGCTGATTTCCAAAAAATGCAGCAGCCCTCAAATTAGCCATTTCTTAATTTTCCTGTGCAGCTTTGTTCCCCTAAATCTCAGGAGCCTAGGTTAGTGTGTGTGTGTGTGTAATGAATACAAACTGCTGGAGTTCAGGGCAGTCCACAAAATGTTTTCTTGGAGAAAGTGGCCTGAAACAGCTGGAATTAGTTGGGGTTTTTTTTGGAGAGAAGATGTTCATTTATTCGTTCTCTCTTCCAAAAACAGGAAGAATCCTACCTGATGCTTCTTCGTCCCAAATAAAAGCAAACTGTCGGTGCAAAAACTCTGCCGCGATCAACACCTGTCTTTTGCAGGGCCCAAAATCTTGCTTGTCAACTTTTTAACTCTCTGCGCCTGAGATATTATTTAAAGGTGTCACTCGTTTTATTTTTCCTCCCAGCTTACAAAACCAGCGGTGGTTATTTGGAGAGGAGGAAGAAACAGAGGAAAATAATAAACCGAGGATTTTTTTTTATTTCCCCAAAGAGTGGCAGCGTGAGGGAAAATTTACAGGGAATTCTCCAACATCTCCATTCACCCAGAGATTTCTGAAGCACCGGTTCACACGACATGCTAGTCTCGAATGCGGGGGGGGGGGGGATGCTTTCCCCCCTCGTCCGGTCGTGTGAATGCATGTAAGAGTTAAGAAAGATGGGCTGGAGCACTGAACTATTCTACAGAACCGCAGTGCAGAACCTGCGCACTGAACAACCCACCAACCAAGGCGAAAAAGGAGAAGAGATCGCGCGATCCGACTTAGAAAAAAAAGGGTTTGCGCGAAGGATGCATTTCCCAGGATTGAGCCTTGAATCAAGCCACTGACCCACCACGGCTTACCTTTCCTTCCTGCAGGGAAACCACCAAGCGCAGAGTTTCTCCTTTCGCTTCGTCAGCTGCGTGGTGACTCTGTGTCCCGTAGCCAAACACTCGGGATCGGGGGAGGATGGGGCGCAGAATCAATCAACAAGCCCCCCCTCCCCTGGCAGAGGCAAGTGGGGGAGGAGGAGGAGGAGAAGGGGAGGGGGCAACTGCCCCGCCAGAATGGCACCGGGACGTGTTTCCTGGACGGGGTCTCTTCCTCCCACGTCCCGGAGAAAAGAAAAGAAAATTTCCAGCTATAAAACTCTTCCTGGGCTCACGGCAAGGGGGTGGGTAGGGGAAGGAGCAAATGCCCTATAGTTTCCTGCTTTCCAAAGAAAAAAAAGGGGGGGGGGGGAAAGAGGATTTGCAAAGGAGGCGAGGGACAGAAAAAGGGGAAGTGGGGAGACAGGAGTTCGGAAGCCAACAAAATGTTGCAGAGAAAAAGAAACAAGGAGAAACTTTCCGCCAGCGATGTCCCAGCGCAGCTGCAAAGCTCGGAGCGCAGAAGGAAGGAGAGCCGGGCAGCAGGAAAGGATGACGTCAAAGGCGGAGGCAGCCAATGGGCGCTCAGCACGCTTTGGCATCGCGTTCGGTTGGGCTGCCAACGGGGTGGATTGGAGACCACGAGGAGGTGGATGCGGTTCAGCCCTCTTCGATAGGTTTTGGAAACAGGGAGGTCGACTCCGAAGGAAAAGTGCTGCGTTGATTCGGATTAAAGTTACTGGCTGTAAACAGGAGCGGAAGCGGAGGTGCTGGGTGTGAAATAGTATTCTTTATTGGCCAAGTATGATTGGACATACAGAATTTGTCTCCCGTAGGTAAGTTCTCAGTGTACATACAAGGAACAAAGTGATAAATCATTATTTATAATTATAATATTCTCAGGGGCTGCCCCAAAGAAGAGGGAGTCAAGCTATTCTCCAAAGCACCTGAGGGCAGGACAAGAAGCAACGGATGGAAACTAATCAAGGAGAGAAGCAACCTAGAACTAAGGAGAAATTTTCTAATGGTGAGAACAATTAACAGCTTGCCTCCAGAAGTTGTAATGTAAATGCTCCCAACGCTGGAAGTTTTTAAGAAGACATTGGACAGCCATTTGTCAGAGGTGATATGGGGGGCGTTGGGCTAGAAGACCTCCAAGATCCTTCCAAATCTGTTATTCTGTTCTATTCTATATTTTATTTTATTCTCTATTCTATTTTAATTCCTGTTATTGTTTTTCTTTCCCTATTCCCTATTCTATTCTCTATTCTGTTCTAATTCATATTCTTTTTCTATTCCATTCTATATTTTATTCTAATTCTGATCTATATTCCTGTATTATTCTTTTCTTATTCCACTTCATTCCATATTTATTCTATTCTAATTCATAGTCATATTTTTTCTATTCCATTCCATATTCTATTTTTTATTCTAATTAATATTCTTATATTATTCTTTTCCTATTCCACTTCATTCCATATTCTATTCTATTCTATTGTAATTCATATTCTTATTCTATTATTCTTTTTCTATTCCATATTCTCTTCTATTCAATACATTCATCATAAATTGTAAGAAACAACAGGGATAGTCATAGGATACTAAATAAATAATCAACATAAATATAAATAAGGACTTCTCTGTATGCCCGATGTAATGCTGACCAGTAGTTTCAAAGTGGTGTTTTTCTACATCTGTTTGGCACAGTCGGCCTGTGGCAGATTTTCAGTGGGATGCGTGACTGTTCAAAGTTACAGCACTAAAAAAGTGGCTTAAGATGTTTCCATATTTAACATCCTTTGTAGAATCCCCATGGTCATGTGATCAAAATTTAGACGCTTGACTCATATTTATGACGTTACAGTGTCCCTAGGTTGCATAATCCCCCTTTTCAACCTTCTGACAAAGCGGATTCACTTAACAACAGTTTGACTAATTTAACAACTACAGTCATACAGGTTGTAAGTTGAGGACTACCTGTATGTATATGATGAGGATCTATAAAGATTAATAAGTACAAACAGAAATATTTATTATTTCCCACAGCAGAAAATGGATAGTTAAATTGATTGCTTTCTTCACAGAAAAGAACATATCCAGTCTTGTTTCCATTTGGAAATCACTTCTGGATTTGTGCTTCTGAAGGGGAAATGCCAACATTTTGATTTTTCCAATTAGGTTTATTATAGAAACGGCTAGTGGATATTGTGTAAAAGTAAAATGTCGTTGCTTTAATGTTATTTTCTTTTACTATGCTAAAAAGTGGAATGTGTTTTTTCTTTTTCCCCTTCTACTTTTTCCCCTTCTATTTTTTTGTTCTCTTGTTTCACATTATTTTCATTTTTTTGTATTTATATTCTAATTTTGAAAGCGCAGAAGATGAGGGTGGCTAATTTCTATTGGCCATCTGGGGTTGCAGTAGGGATCCCAATTTGCACCGAGACAAATTTATTTATTTTTATTTATTTATTTTTGTCGATTGCTTACAAAATAATAGGTATAAGTAAAAACAGTTATGGATACGTACAAGAAAAATAAAAAAAGAAACAATAGGACAGGGACGGTAGGCACGTTGGTGTGCTAATGCAAGCCCCCTACAGACCTCTTAGGAAAGGAGTGAGGTCAATAGTAGACAGTCTAAGGTTAAAGTTTTTGGGGTTTGGGGAAGAAACCACAGAGTCAGGTAGAGTATTCCAGACATTGACCACTCTGTTGCTGAAGTTGTATTTCCTGCAATCAAGTTTGGTGCGATTAACCTTGAGTTTGTATCTGTTGTTTGCTCTTGTATTGTTATGGTTGAAGCTGAAGTATTCATTGACAGGTAGGACATTGCAAGGTATGATTTTATATACTATATTTAGATCGGACCGAAGGCAGCGTAGTTCTAGGTTTTCTAGGTCTAGAATTTCAGGTTGGGTGGCATAAGATATTCTGCAACGAGTAGAGGAGTGGAGAACTCTTCTTGTGAAATATTTCTGGACTTTCTCAACTGTGTTCATATCAGATACATAATATGGGTTCCAGACTGGTGACCTGTATTCGAATATTGGTCTAGCAAATGTTTTGTATGCTCTAGTTAGTAGTGTAATATTACCAGAGAAAAAGCTACGCAGGATTAGGTTAACAATCACACTTGGCCAATAAAGAATTCTATTCTATTCTATCCTTATTCTATTTTTATTCTACTCTATTCTTCTAATCCTAAAAGTCTCTGGATTAAAGTAAGGTTCTACATTTAGGCAAGAAAAAACATATGCAAAGGGTTAGAGTACTGGCTCAATAGTGATAACTGTGAGAAAGATCTTGGAGTCCTTGTGGGCAATACTTAAATAGCAGCCAGCAGTTGTGCCGCAGCTGCCAAAAAAGCCAATTCAGTTCCAGGCTGCAGATCTCGTGAAGTTTTAATACTATTTTATAATGCCTTGGTAAGGCCATATTTGATCTATTGCATTCAGTTTGGGGCACCATGATGCGAAAAAGATGTTGAGACTTTATCGAACTCAAGGCCTGAGGGTTGCATCCAGCCCACTGGGTTTTTAGATCTGGCCCACAGGGCTGCCCTGGACTGCAGTGCCTCTACCAGCGACAGTGAATCTCAGGAGGGCCCAGGCTCCATTTTCGGCCGTGATGGCCGCCTGCAGCTCTCTGCCAGCATAAACAGAACTCGAGGGGGCCAGGCGCACGGGCCTCTCCTGAGCTCTATTTTTACTGGCAGAGGGCTAGCAAAACAAAACAAAAGGAGAAATGTTTCCCCTTTTGTATTTGGGCATGGAAAGGAGAAAACAGGAAAGGAGAAAGGGAAAGAGGAAACCCAAAGGAAAATGGAAGACGGGAAGAGAGCAAGGAAGGAAAGAGGAAGGAAGAAGAAAGAATGAAGAGGGAGGGAGGGAAGGAAGGAAAGATTATGAGAGGGAGGGAGGGTCTGTCTTAACCCTTGGCCACCAGCAGCCCTGCTGCCCTTTCGCCATGATGCCCTTATCTCCTTCTCCTGAGCTCTCCTGGTGGTCTCCCATCCTATCACTTCCTTGGGGAAGCAGGGCTGGGTTGGGCTGTGGGATCCCGGCCCTTGGGAGCTTGAGGGCTGGGCTGGGTATGTGCCCTCAGCAATCTTGGCAACGACTTGTGCTGGCTGAGGAACTCTGGGAGTTGAAGTCCACAGGTCTTAAAGTTGCCAAGGTTGGAGAGCCCTGCTCTGGAGGACAAGGGTTTGGCCCTTTCCCTAGACAATAGACCCCTCCCAGGCCACCACAGGTGCTCCCGACACAAGTGACACCGAGCTAGCCATGCCCTCCCCAGCCCCTTCCCGAGGTCAAACACAACCCTGATGCAGCCCTCAATGAAATCGAGTTTAACACCCCTGGCCTAGAAAGAGTGCAGAGAAGAGCCGGGTCTTACCTATTAAAATATGTGTTTTTAATATAAATATTTAAGAAGATTAAAAACTAACAAAAGCCAATACAAAATAATGAAAAGAGACGAGGGGGGAGAGAAAAAGTACAATAGGAATAAGCTTCCAATTTTCTTTGCAGCAAGAAAGGAGATCTTGTAAGCGTAGAGTAAGGGGTAATTTTATAATCATAACTTAAATAGATATATTTTGAACATTTTAACTGTGAAATCTCTTTGTTGTCAGACACTCTGCTCTATCTGGAGTTCAGCCTGCAGAGATATACAGACATATAACTCATGTTTCCTTTCCTGCTGCTTTGGTAGAATTATTTTTCCGGTATTATTTCAGATCTCTGTTAGCAGACAAAGCACACAGTTGGTTTGTTGTGTGCCTGTGATAGCCTCGTCCTATTCTGCCACAGCCCACTGATCTTCTGTTCCACTTCTGCAGTTTCACGCTAGTCTGAGAATTCATCAAAAAATCATTTTGCGAAAAACAATGATGATTTCCTCTGACTGCTATTTGCAGTAAACCACAATTTATTTGCAGAGGCCTAGATGGGGTACAGCAGTCTTTGCTTCAGCCGAGGAAGGCATGAGTGGCACCATCTGGATGGGGTGGCACTGCCCCAAACAGACTATCTGGGGATCCTTCCTGGACCTGTAGTTCCTGCTCAAGGAGGAAGTCGCTTTGGCTAGCTGGGCTTTTGTGCAATTCTAAGTTGTGCATCAGGTGTACCTTTTCCTGGCCAAGTGGGAGCAGGATACTTTTTCAGGGAATTGCACAGCCAGTGTCCGTGAAGCTGACATAAACTTGTAGCTTGGTATAAATAAATATATTTACAGCAAACAAGATAGTCAGGCACATCAGTACATCTTGAGGTAAATTGTGAGGTAAATCACAAATCAGCATAGAATAGGGGTATCAAACTCGATTTTTTGGAGGGCTGGATAGAATAGAATTCTTTATTGGCCAAGTGTGATTAGACACACAAAGAATTTGTCTTTGGTGCATTTTCTTTCAACGTACATAAAAAGAAAAGATAAATTCGTCCAAAAATCATAAGGTACAACACTTAGTGATAATCATAGGATACTAAATAAGCAATCAAGTCAGATAACAGATAATAGATAA